TCACCATTATAGCCTGGTTTAGACTGATACCTTCACCATAATGGTCTAACAAAACCATACCTTCCTGAGGAGACACTAGAGAATTTGATGTATTTGTTGTCTCAACTGATGTGCTTTCCGGGGGTTCAAACATGTCTGACTCAAAGCTCAAAGGTGATGGACTATGAATACCTGGAATAAAGACTTCTGGTTCTGGACTTGTAAAATCATCTTCATCTTCATTATCCATTCCAACTGTATTATGGGATATCATGCATAACAATGCAGGGATGATTCAACGTGACAATCATTGATATAAACATTTAAAGTAAATTGTCAAATAAATTTCAGAAATCTGTGATCTTTCTTATACCGAAATTGTAAATGCTGCCAATTTTTAAACAAACTATAATTAAAAGTACTAAACAAGGACACAAATCATATAATCACACTAACTATAATGTTAATGCTATTGAATAAACAGAACATAGGGCTTTTCCTCATCAACATCATATAATGAGAACTGATGTTTAAATTAAAATAAAAACAAAGTAACTCAACATTACTAAGTATCGAGCCAGTGATACAATGGTGCTGGTGATGATGTGAAGAGTTTTATCCATACTGTAAAACCTTGAATATCAGGTTTTGAATGGTTCAGAAATCCAAAATATCACTTTCAACACCCCCAAACACAAAAACAGCACCGCACTCTCTAAATACATATGGAAATTAAGACAGCAATAAACCCTACAATATCAAATGGTCTATCATTGACCGAGCATCGGCCTACTCCACAAAAACAAAACACTGCAACCTTAACACAACCAAGAATTTTGTTTACATACGATATATTCAGACAGTCAATACTATTGTCTAAATGCAGGCACAACTACTATCTACTTAAAAACAATTAACTCATTTGCATATCCACCTGCCATAGCATTCATTCATATACTCATACAATCCTTGTATTCTCTCAATTCATACATGAAGCAGTCTTTAGAGTGCTATGCCTAGTTCTACATTTTTATTATTTACGCTCTGCATACTGTATTTTACATGTACTGAGCACTCTATATTCTATTTATTATGTAAATGTAATATATATATATATATAAATTCATATTCAATCGGTGTTGTTGATGTGGATCCACGTATGTCTCATCGTAGGAATAAATCAGCAGGTAGACGCAGACAAAATAAACTGCTACGATACTTTGACTTGTAGGAGACATAGAAATATTTATTTGCAAAATTTTCGGCAACTCCTGTTACCTTCGTCAGCGCATGAGTATCAATTGATAAAGAAGATGAATCTGCGAGTATGAAGGAAATGTGTATATAAAGATATCCAATAATCAATCGTTTAGTGGCGTACTGCCTATGCACTTTCGTGCAGCAGTCCATAGAGCTGTCTGCACCTAGGGCAACTCCATAGGCTGCTTCATTTAGTACCCTGACCCAAAATAGCTTTGTTGATACATAACAGCATAATGTGTCTCTGACATCGACTGTAGGACATATATCAGTTATAATTGACGCTTTATAAATTCAGTGACGGATTAAAGAGGGAAGCAGCCAGGCCTGGGCCCCCTAAATTCGCCCAAAAAATGATAAATGGAGATAAAAATATAATCATATTCAATTTTTTAATTTGTGACTGCCATTTCTGGCCATCTAGGTGCCATAATCAACCATGGTGGGTTTAAGATGGTATAGACCCTCCATCTGTGAAATCCCTCCCTTGCCCCCCCTCTATTCCAATCCGCAAATGATTTCATATCATTTATTTCATCATTAAAATCATTTAGAATACAATAGGCCCCAGTCTCAGAAAGCCATAGGGTAATTTTTTCCAACATTATGCCAATGGTAGCATCTGCATAATTTATCATGATTATCCAGTCCTGTGACTGCGATTTTTCATACTACTGTGTCAACCTAACATTTTTATTACTTTAAATTATATTTCTGATGGGAGCAGGCTGGTTTCCCCCTGGATATTTTCTCCCAGACATTTTCCCCAGGCTCAATGTTTTTTTATTTTTACCGATTTCAGGCTCAAAATGTTCTTGATTCATTCTTATTTTTACACACTTTTCAAACATACAAATGTATAGGGGGCCTTCATGTCACACTTCACACTTCATGTCACACTTTATTGAGTAACCCACTACACATGTATAAAGTGGATATACAATAGAAAAATATTGTTTTTGGTAAAACCCAGTATGCTTACTTTTTTCTACTTAAATATGAAGACAGAGAAAGATTTATCAACATATGGATATGCAATAAATCAACTTGCAACTCACCTAAAGTGTGCTTACTTTTTTCTACTTAAATGTGAAGACCGAGGAAGATTTATCAACATATGGATATGCAATAAATCAACTCACCTAAAGTGCCATTTGGTGAAACTGATCTAGAACTGTTGCTGGACTTAACACGGCTTTCATGAAGTGGCGAAAATTGTGCCTCAGATGGTGGAATGCTCAGATCATAGGATCTATCAGTCTTCCGACTACTCAGCAGCAATGCACCATCCTCAACTATATTTACATAAAGTCAAAAGAAAAACAATTAAAAATCTATAATCAGATTTCACTTGGATTGTGTTTTACTAAATTAAAGTCCTTAATATTCAAAGTAATCTTGCTGAATAATTCTTTAATTACTATGATATATTAATATAGTGACTCTATATGGAATAACAAAAGGTAAATTTGCTGAGTGATACTTCCATGACATTTTCTCAGAACCCTTTAAACAGGTATTGCTGATTTGGCCATTCTTATGAGAGGTAACATATAAGCTGAATACATTAGATTACCCTATACAATGATCTAAAGAATATATTTATTATTACCAAACTCCATGACATTCAAAAAAACTAAAAACCATGTAAAAACAAAACAAAAAATAGCTGAGGTGAAGTTGGCAGTGGTGAATTTGGTAATAAATTTAAGAATAGCCACATTGAGTCAATATTTACTGATACTACTCACAAACCAAATGCAAAACATCTCTAGGTTCAAATGTGAAAAATAGAATCCCAAAAATAAGATGGCAGATCTTTGAAATAGAAGATGCTAAATGGTATGAAATGAATATACTTAAATTGACATTTTGCATAAATTTTTAAAAATGACAATCAGTGCTCGCAATAACCTGTTGGTAAGGCAACTAATGACATTCATACTTTTGATCAGAAATCACCTGCCTAGCAAGCTGTGCACTGACTGCCTAGCCCGACGCTCCGCAAACTATGGGCCACGGGCCACAGCCCAAATTTGGGCCGCGAAATATTTTTGGAGGGAAGCAAAGCCATCAGAGATAATGAAAAAAAAATAACTAAGATACGTTTAAACATGTAGAAAATAGTTTTAATAGAGCCGCTTCATTGTTACAGCAAATGCGCAGCACCTCCTTGCTTTTACCACACACTGCTAAAGTGCCAGATGATGCGTGCTGTTTGAGTTACTGTATAAGGGGTTTTTAATGTCAACAACAATAATACTGTAGTAAAAGAACATAAAATTTACTTGCTTGGTTATTTCGGTCGCCATTATTTGCATTGGATATTTCAAAAACACACAGACACATGGATCGATGGCCTTGCTTGTATGATCATCGACTAATAATCACCAACTAATAATTTATTAAGATAACTAACAAAGCAAAAGTTTTTAATTTATGCTAATGTTTCAACTGTGTGGACAATATTTAGTATGAACATGTATACAATATTAATATCCAATTAAAACTATAGTATAGTAATTGCTGACTTCGTGTTATTCTGCACTCATTTTCAAGTGTAGTACAGTACACTGAGCCACTTGTTGGTAGTGAGATGCAACGATGCAAGTCTAGCACTAAACATGTTCTTGGTGGCTTGGTTTCTGGACTCATAAATAGGCCGTGAAGTAAAAAGTTTGCGGAACGCTGGCCTAGCAAACTGGTGTGCACTTATCAACAAGCACGCAAAATCAACATCTGAACATTGAGAATTATTGCAACTGGGATTTTAAAAAGGAAATCGGAAGAAGCACAAAAGGTTGGGGTCTTCAAACTACATTACCTTCCGATATTGTAGCGTGGCTCTCATTATCATCTGATTTATCTATCATGTAGAGTGTTAAAGAAAACTAAGTTGATTTGACAGACAAAAATAAATAAATGAAAACGTACACAAATTAATCAAAACAACAGGATGAAATACACTTAATAGTGTCACAATAAATGTTGATGTTAAACTTGTAATGCCCACCAATGTACAT